ATTGTGTGTCAAGCATACCTTAACACAACAGGTAGCTTAAAGAAAAACAAGGGAACAAAAAGCCATTTTACAGTAACTCATACAACCATAACAATAAAAAGAAATCTTATCCGAGATTCTATGCGTATACAAGGGATTGAACACACACAGTACCTATACACCTCACTTAACATGATAAAGAACAGTCAAAGATTTTTTTTTATATTTTGTCCTTGTAAACCTGAATGTGTAATTGTGATTACATGTTTCCACCTTGTATGCCGATAATATTTATTTATTTATTTATTTATCCACATATAAAAATGTGTCTGCTTGCAGTGGAAAATAGTATTCAACTATTCACCCCAGTTAAATAAACAGAGATCGTTGGATTTCACTCAGTCGGCACTTTATTTTCTTATCTTTGCAAAGAGAGAACAGTTCATCATACGGCCCTTATGGCACGGTAATCTGCCCTGTTCTGATCTAGACAGTTTTTCTCCCTTACTTATAATGAGAAAAAAGCTGTGAAGGTTGTCAGAGTCAAAAAAAATGACACATACTTTGGTTAAACAATAACCAATGACTGACCTGAATTAACCTTTACCGGCACAATAACAATTCTTGAGAAATAATTTGGCTTGTTATGGGATAAGTAGGTATTCATTGTATGCAAAACACTTCTCACTCAGACGTTTTGTGGCCTTGCAGGTGAAACAGATGGACTGAAAATATTTTTCAATGGATAAATAACATAACTAAATATATGAAACAACAGAAATCTAAATTTTCTGAACAAATTCTATTTTTATAAGTGTATTGTGTAAAAAAAAATTTTTTTTTTAACAGCAGATACAATTCTTTTTCTAAGGTGTTATAGAGATGCAAAGCAAAAATCGACACAATAAAACTCCACAGAAAGCATTCTATATGGAATTTGACATATCTCTGCATATTTAATAAATTATCTGTTGATGCCAAATTTAACAATCGGAAAAGAGAAAATAGGGTTTTGACTGATGGGTGTCCTGTAGTCCTGTAAGCAAACTATATGTGTTGAACGTGGAGACAGCTTCCAGATAGTCAATATTTTCTTTTAGTGAAAAACCAAAAATAATTCTCTACACAATGTTTAAAAATCAGGTTTTCAAACAGAACACCATCCTTCAAAAAATAGTATTCTATTCTTTTCTATTCATTCTATCTATCTCTATTTTCCCATTCTGCAGTATTTATTTGCACGTTTAACTTTATGTTCTCTCTGCTTTTTGTTGTCATAGTAGCTTCACCTGGTCTGTTCCTGTTTGATTAAGACTCAATTTGGGAATGTAATATGAGCAGGGCTGCATTAATCATCACATTTGTTTTATAGATATTGGAGTTTGACCTCATTTTCACTGTAGCCTTTTTTCTATTACCAACATCCTTCATGAACAGCACCTGTCACCCCCCTGCACCAGGAGCATATATATATATATATATATATATATATATATATATATATATATATATATATATATATATATATATCCCCACAGCCTGCACTTTGGGTCCCTGAGCATGACCCTTAACCTCACACTGCTCCCTGGATGCCGCTAAGTGGCAGTCCACTATGGGATAAATACAGAGTTGAATTTTTCCAATGTGAGATCAATAAAGTACATTTTTATTATTATTATTAGACGTCTCTTTTGTGATTCAACACTTGAGCTCGCAGAGCAGAGCTCTGAATGTATTTCAAGAGGAAAGCTCAAACACACTACCTCATATATGACATCATGGAACAATAAAAAAATGAAATTTGACATCATACCAAGAGGAGAATTTTGGTCATGCACAGAGTTGTGATTCAGCACAGAGAACAAGCATTACACCATTGTATAGATGATGACTGAATAAATTGTAAATTGACTGCATTTATAATGCTTTTATAGCAGCATTGCCTAATCAAAACATTTTTATACTAAAATTATTTTTCATCCAATCACGCATAAAATACATAACCTCATCAGAAGACAACTTTCTGTTAAGTGCCATATTGGTTTTCATTTATCCATTTCACACTGACCGAAAAAGCAGTTTAAACCCTGGAAAACAATCAGATTTTAGTGGCAGTGGGAACAGCTCAATGATGCATGTTTACCAAGGTCAAAAGAACTGCGTTAAAATTGCCTCGACTCTGACCAGCATGCTGTGGGAACACCAGACCAACTAATTACGTGACACCATTGAACGCAACATACGGACGTCAACACACCGCGCCAGTCATGTCTGATCTAACAAGCTGAAACAGCTCTGTTTACATCCGAAAAACACGGTGCAGCTCTGATAAGAGAGATTCGAACAGATAATAGAGGTAAGAAATAATGCAAACTTATTATGCTCTGGCTTCCTTTCATGTTGCTCTCCATTGTTTACTTTCCTGATTTTTGTTGCACTGGCGACACTAATAACACTAACCCTTTGTGATGCGTCATCAGACAGGCAGCTGTGGCGAGGCAGAGGCCAAGCAGCTTGCCATCTAGGAGTTAGACCATGCTTTTTTTGCCAATGGGAAGGAAGCCAAAGGACGATTGTTAGCGGGTCGACAGATGTTTGAAAAACATGTGTTAACCCAGTATTTTCAGTAGGAAAGAGGTTTAATGAGACTTTCATGTTAAATAACTACACAAAACCTGTATGACTGTTGTATACTTAAACCAACAATTTTTGCCAAACTTTAGCTAGCCTGTGTCTAACAAAGAAATATACATACTTTTTTAAACTAAATTCTTAGACACCTTGTATGTTTTTTTTTTTTTGTTTTTTTTTTTTATTCCCCAATCTTTATGTTTTGCTATAATCTCACTCTTGCTGAGCAAGTTCAGATAATTTTTCCTGTTTTTCATTATCTCAAATGTCAACAGTTTTGCAAGAACATTTGGAAATACATTTCTGGATAACATTAAATAAAAATTTTTACATAAGTAATTACTTTTAAGGGAAAGAAAAACTTAAAATTCTGTTATTATTATCTAGTATTTTTTGTAGTCCTGCAATAATCCTTCTAATTATAATGCTCTTGATACAACAATTAACGTACTTTAAATAACAATTATTGATGAGGGTAGTTGTTTTTAAAATATTTTCACATTCTGAAAACCTTTAAGTCCATTTATGTGGTGTGCTACTGCAAGATCAGTACTGGCATTGGAGTTTCAGCAGTGTCAAAGTAGGCAAATGCAGGTGATTTGTCTTGTCAAACATTCAAGCATCCTGATTTGGTATTTAAAGTGGAACTTGAGCTTCCAATAGGAAACCAGTTGATTAAGCTTTAGCAGATGACATGTCCCTATTGTTGAGTCGGAAAGAAGAGGTAGGTTCACATCCGTGTTTATTTTTTTCCTAAGGTGGATCAGTGACTGAAGAGGAATCAAACTGCAAAAGTATAAGTCTGAGCCTTTAGGTATATCAGGCATACTATTGGGATAATTTTGCAACTACTGCAACAAAGTTAAATTAGTATGTTTCCAATTATCTTTTATCACCTTCATGTACCTAACAGTGAGATAGCTTTCCCATGTATAAAGCAGATAACATAGTTTCTACTGGACCCACACTTGGATATGCCGCTCCACTCCCTTCTTGTTAAAAGTCACAACAGTTTTTAATTTTTTTTGTTAATTTAAATGTTTGTTATTTCGAGGTTCGGTAGGGACATTACTTTCATATCCAGATACATAAAACCTGAATTAAATCGTGTTTTTTTTTTTTTTTTTTTTGCAGAAATTTAAATGTGTTCATTTACTGTTGCATTCATTTACTCAACTTGTTCCTTCCTGGTATTTACGGAAAAAAATTACACTGAATAAATTTACTGTCCGACAGGTTTAACTGAACTTACCAAGCAGTAACTCTTAAGAAAGAAGTGTCTGCAATGCTTAATGGATAAAAGTTTGGTATTTGATCTGAACAAGTGAAAACTGAACACATTTCTTTCATTCTTTTTACCAAGATGTATAAAAATCGATTAATTTCAATTTATTTTCAATGCAAGCTTTGTTAATGACACAGAAACCTGGTCTACAGTAGGAGTATGAATAAAACTATACAGATAAAAATAAAAACTTACTTCACAACTAATTTTAATTATTAGTTTTTTTAACACATTTAGGCAGGGATGCAAGAGCCTCATTTCAGGTGTAAATCTGACTGAGCTAATCTTGTAAGAGATACGGGTTTATAACATGCAGTTCTGTTGGTTTATGACCCTACAAATACAGTGCCTTACAATAGCTACTCTGGCTCTAACACAAAAATTAATAAACATAATGTGCAATACTGCTGAGGTTAAAACAAAAAAGGCAGAGAGTGAGATTTTTTTTTAATTTTTTTTAAACCACAATGCACAATAATCAAACTATATATATCATATTTCATAAAACATTTTGACTCAAAAGTTATTTCTGTTATATTTCTGCCAGTGGCAGAGCATACACCTGCTTATGATTTCCTTATCAATCTGTATGTGATACTAAACCCACACATTAAAGTTAAACAAAAAAACTGTCCTTCGAGTTACTCAGTTGGTAATAAGCCTACTTCGCTCTCTCTCCTGTGAAATACTATGTTAAAGAAACTGTCCATAAATCCTTTGTCCCTAATTTTACTTTGCCTACCCTGTCTTTGACAGTTCTGTTCACAAAATGTTGTTATCTCTTAGTTTTTTATTCATCTTCCATTGAACAATAATCCAGTATGCTAAACATTTCAGAGAAACTTTCTTACACTGTCTCTGCCACTTCCGTACCTGCCACCATATCCCCGTACCTGCCTCACCCAGAACCGTGTAGCCACTACATATCTCTATGTGGAAGGACTCTATTCAAAAATACGAAGTATAAAAAAAACAAGGGAAAAAAAAAACTTTCACTCTAAGGTTTTGGTGTGTTGTAGAACAATTGATTCAGTTCAGTTAGTAAATTAAATAGGGAAATACAGAGAAGGAAGAAAGTTACAGGTCTGTAATATTTTTGTCTTACCTTCAACAGCAGACAAAGAGGATGGAGACAGCTCAGCGGACAAGCGTAAGATATTGTGAAAATACTCTTTGGTCTTTGGAAAGTTTCACATTACAGACACACCTTTAAGCTTTTTTTTTTTTTTTTTATCACTCTCCACGCCCCAGACTAAGGGGTGGACTTACCTGATGTCCCTGTTTGTCAAAACACCTTTAAATGAAGACTCCAAAATGGAGAATATGTTGCATGGCAAGTTCTGAAATTTTAGGGTCATTTTTTCTCTTTACAGATTGTTTATTTCATATATTCTATTACATAAAGGGTATAAATGGCACCGTGTTTTAACTTAGACATTTTGCATTATTAGACTTAGTGTTGTAATATAGTAGTCAAATGCAGTTTTAACTTTTATCAACGACATTCCGTTTGGCTCTCAGGTTGAAACAAGTTGATTATGCAGAATCCTACACCTGGCAAGCAGCTTTACCAGGAAGAGGGTGGGTACACTGGGGGAGCAAATAAGTCAACAGAGAAGTCATGGCATGTTTAGTGTAGACCTATAGTGCCTTGGGGACAACATGTCAACACCTGTGAGACTTTTACTAGGTACTAATACATACTGCAATGCTACATAAAACAACATTTGCAGAGTTGTGGGACCTGTCTTTATTTCTGTCTATTTCAACCTCTTAAGTCCCAAGGGCCTCTCCTGAAGTTTGTGCTTAAAATTACATACCCATATATAGTTGAGGTTTTTCCAGAAGTTACATCCATCCATCCATTTTCTAACACGCTTATCCCGAGTGGGGTCACAAGGGGTGCTGGTGCCTATCTCCAGCAGCCATCGCAGCCAGCAGTTACATATTATATCAAAAATAATTTTGAAATCAAAATAAAGGTGGCCCTTGGGAGATTCCATCAGATGTGCACACATTAGTTTCAAAAAAGTGAATGAGAAAATAGAAAAACTGGAGGATTTTATTCACGCTCCACATTAAAAATTGCCTGTTTGAGTTGCAAAGGAGATTGAAATCCTTTTTTTATTCTGGCTGGTTCCACTGAAAAAAAAAAAATTAAAATTCTGTGTTTAAAAAAAAGGCAGATTCCAATGAGACTGTTTTTCTTCTATACCACTCTAGCATTCGGAATCATTTTACAATGTTCGATGTAGAGACACAAGGCTTGTGAAAGTTCCGTTTTGGGTGAAAAGCCTTAATTTTCAGATCGCTGAAAATTTTACAGATCACCCCCCAAACACCTGACATCATTTGTAAGTTGGTTTTTATGCTAAATCTAGTCGATCTGTCATAGTCTTGATTTAGTCCAGAAATAGTTGTTGAAAATTGGGCTGTTTTAGTCAAGGCTGATACTCTCCCACCTTAGTCCAATCATAAACTACAATAGTCTATTATTGGACTAGTGTACACCTGGTTCTGTTACTGGCTGGATGTGCTCTCTTCATCCTCTGATGTGGGAGCTGGCTCAGAGCTTGTTTGCCTGGCTGTGTGTTTCTTGGATGGGCCTTTTACGGTTGCTTTTTCTATCTCTGCTTCTGTCTCCTTCAACCCAAGTCGGCCTCGGCAGATGGCCGCTCACACTGAGCTTGGTTCTGCTTGAAGTTTCTTACTGTTAAAAGGCAGTTTTTCCTCTCCACTGTCGCTACAAGCATGCTTAGTGTGAGGGATATCATCGATGTTGATGCAATCAACTGCTTTTCCAAATTTTGAAACAATTGGACTGTATGATCTGGTGAACTGTAAAGTGCCTTGAGATGACGTGTTGTAAATTGGCACTATATAAATAAACTGAATTGAATTGAATAGTTTTCAACTGACTGAAAATTACGGTATTTAATTTTTCAACCAAATGTAGACGCTGTTTGTACGTAAATCATGCCGTCTTTTCAACCCATTTTTGCTAGATGGGCATCTCGAGACCATTCTAGCACTTGCATTGAAGGATTTATTTTATATCATGAATGGTCTGTCAGTAGTATTATCAATATGGATTTCTTTCCATCAGTTCAGAGTATTATGGCGTGCTGCATTTCACTGCCTGAGCATTAGTGGGGCTGTTCTTTGTTGCTTATCACTCCCTGTAGTGCTTTTAAGAGTTGTGGCTGTAATGACCAGAAAACAGGAGGCCCAGAATTCAAACAGATACAAAGAGAGACATTTAAACAGTTTATTGATATATAAAACTGCCGCAGGTCGGGAGGGAGTCACGAGAGTCAGCCACCGGAACTTCTGGAAGGATATTGGACAGATAAGTGACCAGACAGAAACAAAGGGAATTTTTTTTTTTTTTCAATTTAGAATTCTGGTTTACTAACCTTCTCAGAGTTTGGCAACAAACTTTAAAAGTTTTTGAAGAATCTGGTTGGTGTGGATTCCTGAATCTGTCCAGATTGTTTTGGAGAAATCCTTTGTGGACATTTACTCATTGGTCCCGTGGAATGCACAGGGTCATATCTGTGACAGCAGAGACAGGCAGAATGATCAAGGAGACAAACCAGAGTTCCGAATCCAAGAGTCAGTCCAGAGTCAGAGCCTGGTGATCTGAGATTGGACGGGCAGGCAGTCCTGGAATAAACTCACCGATGCCTCATAATTATCTGACCCCAGTGAACGATCTGAGAGCTGCTTATATAGTCAGGTGAATCTGATGGAGATGGCTTAAAAACAGGGTGAAGCTGTCAGCTGTGTTGAATACTAACTCAACTTAGTGGCAAAAATCATGACAGAGACAGGATTTGCATAGGCTGTTCAAAACATTCAAAACTTCCTCCTTTCTATACATATATCTACTTTCTAAATCAAACTGTCTGCTTATGCCTCTGTCTCTAATACGCATACTATGTCTCAACTGTATGTTCTGCTCACCTGTACTGTCCCTGTTTTTCTAAAAATGGAGCCAAGGCGGAAGCTCAACTTAAGAAACTCATTGCTCTCCTACATCCACCTGCGACACAGCCAATCAGCTTTGAACCATGCCTCCACGAAAGCCAGTCGGCATCCAAAGTTCATCTTAAAAAGCCTCCGATCCGCACTTGACTGCTCCTGTGGACAGGTGACGGATGCGCTATGTGACTTCATTCAGATGACATTGTTTCAACTTACCTCCAGCCCCTCCTCCACCATCGTAGCTAAAGCTTCATCAGAGTCTCATTCCACTTCCCCCCGGACTCTTATTGAGTTCCCTGTCTGATCTCAACTGGTCCGGCAGAAGACCGCCATGTTGAGCCTGGATCTTCCAGAGGTTTCCCCCCAATGGGGAGTTTTTCCTCTCCACTGTCGCTTCATTATTGCTCATCATGGACAGGGTCTCTCAACCTGTGTTATCCAAACTGGTCTTCCATCTTTCAGGTCCCTGAGTGAAGCTCTACTATCAGCTTATGCAGTCCACTGGATCTCCCTATAAAGCTCCGCAGACCGTCTTGCTAACCAGCAGTCTACAGTCTGACCAACTTCATCTATCTCCACTCCACCCCCAGTTTCAAGCCTGGGGGGAAACAGCCCTATTCTTCGCTCCTGTTCATGCATATCTATCAAAATTAAACGCTATGTTTCCTGCTGCGGTCTGAGTGCCAAAGACAATCTAATTGTATCAAGAAATTTCTCCTAATTGTCTTTTCTCTTCATGTCAGTTTTTCAGATTGAATGATTGAATTATCCTCTTCTCTTTTAGGCTACGTTTACACTGCAGCCTGAAGTGACCCAAATCTGATTTTTTTTGCCCACATGCGACCTGGATCTGATCTTGACATGGCAGTCTGGACAACACAGATCCGATCTTTTCCAATCCAACCCAGGCCACTTGGCTATGTGGTCCTGAATCCAATACAAATCTGATCTTTTCAAAAACGACCTGTCTCTGAATGGCCAGGTCGCATTCATCCGACCTGAGTGCCATTAGTAACCGACGTAGGTCACTATTCTGCATCTTGTTGCACAGAAGCGGCAAGAAAAACAAAAACCATGGGGTACGATGATGGGGAGAGCAGTATATTTTTTAACCATCTTGAAAAGATTGAGGTTTTAAGGCTTAGAAAGATCGCTAGATGCGCTCCAGCATTACATCCATGTTTACTTCCGAAACACAGAGCATGCTGACTTGTGATGCCATTGCATCCTCTACTGCGCATGTGGGACACAGAAGCTGTATGAATGCAGTTCACACAAGAGTGCACATACAAGTCGCATATATTTGGAAATGTGGTAGGCAACGCAAAAAATTTGGAATTGAGCATCAAGGCCTGCAGTGTGAGCGTAGCCTTACTCTCTTTCATCATCTCTCCCTTTTTTCTGTTTTCTCACTATGTCTTAAACATGATCGAATCTCTCTGGCTGAGTTGCTTGCTGTTTTCGTCTCTCTCTTTTTATGGTCAATCCCTGCTCTTTCAGGAAGCAATTCCGCATTGTTTTTCAGCCAATTTATAATGTTTCCATTGCTTCTTTTTAGCTTCTGGCTAAACCGTAATTCTTTGAACATGATTTTGCCATTTGTTTTTTGTATAAAAAAAAATTGAGATACAGTTTCTGCCATTTACTTCTGCCCGCATCTTCTATTTTTCAAGAAGACAATTAGGCTTTTCTGTTTTCTGCTTATTCCTAACACTTTAAGTTTTTGTGTCCAACTTCAGCGTGTTTCTGTATTCGTTTTTTGTCCTTATTTTACATTTCTTCAACTGCTGCTGAAGCTCCTTGAAAATGTTATTAGCACCCAGAACAATAGAAAGATGTTTGGTATACAGTCTTTACCTGCTTTGTGGGTCAACTGTCTCAGTGGGTGACAGAAATGGACGGTGAAAGCAGGAGAAGGGTGGACATGTTTGAATCCACAGCCAAAACTTTTCTGGCCTTCTTATTTTCATGGACCACAAAGGACCCAGTCCAGGTAGACCGCGTTCTTGGGGGATGCAGCCTCTTAAATCGAACACTGTCTGGATGACCTTATATGAGGAGCTAGAACTAGTTAACCTGTCTGCTTTACCTACAAGATGAGGACTAACACAGGCAGGTACAGACTAACACAAACAGCTGCACACAGCCTCAGCCTTTTCTTATTACCTATTTTCTCTGTGCCTCTCAAGCTTCGTAGGA